TATTTAACTTTTTATATTCTATATATATTTTTATTTTTATTTATTTATTTTTTTTTTTAAACTTACCTATTATTAGTATTACTATAACTTAATAACTTTGTTACCATTTGGACCGATACGTCATATGCAAATAATAATAAGCAAAAGTTTCAAAAATTATATAGAGGGTTAAAAACACATTGTACTTATGTTAAAAAACCAATTCCTCAAGTATCATTGGTTCAATGTAAAGCCAAAAACATACCAAAACAAGTTGATGCTTATAACTGTGGAGTTTATGTAATATACTACGCTATCACAATAATAAATAAGTCACATTTCGACAAGAAGTTCAACCCTAATAATTATAGAAACGATTTAAAAAGTTTATTGCTAGAAAATTCAGGTGACATGGCAAACATATGTTTATATTGCCAAAAGTATATAGAACATCACAGCAGTATTAAATGGGTGTCATGCACTACATGTTGTCGTCGTGTGGTAACTGATTGTATAGCTGATGAGTATAGACTAAATGATTACAAACATTTTGATTTCTATTGCATTTTGTGTGACAAGACTAATAATTAAGTAAAACTATTTATTATAAAAATGTTATTTTTAATGAACAGCAAATCGTCGTCTCCCTAAAAAAACTCGTTTTTTATTAATATAGTATATTTTAACTGAAAAATCTAAACCTTTAATTTTGATGGATGGATATAAATTTTGTTTTCATAAAACGTTTTAAATTTTTACCTTGATATTAGTAATTATGTTGACAATAATTGACTACATTTTAGCTTCGATGTATTTTATTTTATATTAATTCAACTTAAATATTTTTATCTCAAGACAAAATAAGAGTAAAATATCTTTTCTGCTTCTCATCGAAGCTAAAAAAATTTTTGGGAGACTTAACAGCCAACCTCCTCGTATTGTCTCCTGGGTAACACTAATAGGCTGAAGTATGAAAAATTATAAATTTATATCGTTTCAATAGCCTAAAGTTTAGGAATGAATTCATATGTGTACTGAGAATCAACTCGAACATCTTCTAATTTGCCCAAGGAAATTGTAAATGTAAGTTAAATTAATATAACACTTATATAAATTGATGACCTTATCACTGTAACCTCCACTTTTATAACCTAGTTGTACATTTTTTTAAAAGTAATAACAGTGTAAAATAAAAATTAAAAAAAAAACCCAGCACAGGGGGGTCGCGGCACAGAGGTGACGTGGCATAGTTGGATCAAGTATAATGATATCTGATAGTGATTAAAATCACTATCAAAAATAAACGCTTCGATGCAAATCTTTAGATAGTGTTTAATTTTAAAAAAATTGGTGTTTTATTCCAAAAGCTACTTGATCTGCTGGTTCCTTATTAATATCTCGATTAAGATAAAGTATGTCGAATGAAAAAGGGTTTATTAAAAAATATTATTT